TCTCTCTCTCTCTCTCTCTCTCTCTCTCTCTCTCTCTCTCTCTCTTTCTCTCTCTCTCAAAACAATCTAATCTATGTGAAAACCATTTCCTAGGACTAGTGGCTGAGCTGTCATGTTGGCTTATGACTATTATTGTTCTCCTCATTTTGTACACTGTTACTCAGAGACCCATTCTCTCTTATCTTCCTGCTTGATGAGGAGGTCAGTCAGAGGTAGATAAGGATGAGAATGGAGAGTCTCTGACAAATGCAACTGGCCTCAGACTTCTTTACCTCTCGTGTCCAGGGTGGCTTTGGCAAAGGAGGATGTCAAATCTGGAAACAAGGGGTCTCAGCCCATGTCCCCCTCTGATTTCCTGGACAAGCTTATGGGGCGAACATCTGGATATGACGCCAGAATTCGACCCAATTTTAAAGGTAAGAAAAGTCATTCTATAAAACTATTCCCTCCTTACCACTTTTTGTGACACACTACCCAGTCAGCCCTTGTGAATTGCCTTAAGGAAGAAGGCTGGTATTCCAGGGCTAGTTTTTATAGCTCAGAAACAGCCTCCCCTCCTTGTAGTCCAAGGGCCTATGTAGCTGGCACTATCTTCTCCCAGCCTGAAGCTCAGGGAGAGAGACCTCAAACCTAGTCCCTGCCTTCTGGAATGCCCTGCCAATGGGCTGTGCTTTGTACCTTTAGGCCCACCTGTGAATGTGACCTGCAACATCTTCATCAACAGTTTTGGCTCCGTCACCGAGACCACCATGGTAAGGAGTCTTCCTGTTCCCCTTTCCACCCCAATGTGAATGGAGAAGCCAACCAGGCCACACACATTTCATACCTCTATTGTCCACTTCCTGTTTCATTGTCATGGCTAAAGCCATAGGGGTCTGAATTTGGCCACTGAGAGGATATTTTTCCCTAGCCTTAGATTTCTATAGTTAAAGATGAACTAGCTAAGCAACAAATACATGGCCAAATATGTGAAGTAGCTCCATGCAGACAACAAGCTTTGGAATTAGACAAACCTGGGTTCAAATGCTGGCTCTACTAACTAACAGTGGTGTTAAGGTATGTCTACTTAAATCTTTCTTGGTCTCAGTTTCTCATCTGTAAAATAGAGATCATGATAGCACTCTCCTCAAAAGATTGGTGTAAAATTTAGATGAGATGATACATATAAATAAAGCACTTAGCAGAGAGCTTGGCACATAGTAGATGCTTAAATAAATACCTTTTTCCTTCCCATCTTTGCTTTATTAGCCCCAAACAAGCTCCTCCAGTGAAAAATGCCTACTGTCCCCAATATGCCCCAGCATTTCCTCCTCATGACTCTCCTGCTCATGTAGGGTTGCTGAGCCCCTGGAAATAGCACTGCCTCTGATGGACCCATATCTGCACTCTCCCAGGACTACAGAGTCAATGTCTTCTTGCGGCAGCAGTGGAATGACCCTCGCCTGGCCTACCGAGAATATCCTGATGACTCTCTAGACCTCGACCCCTCCATGCTGGACTCTATTTGGAAGCCAGACCTTTTCTTTGCCAATGAGAAAGGGGCCAACTTCCACGAAGTGACCACAGACAACAAATTGCTGCGCATCTTCAAAAATGGAAATGTGCTCTACAGCATCAGGTACACCCAGTGAATGGCCAGGAGAATTTGCATCAAGGGGAAGAAGACAGATGGAGGCTGAGGGTGGAAGAAGTGTCCCCTATGCAATGTTAGATCCCAGTAAGCTGATGTCACTTCTTTCTTACTGTCACCACCAGATTGACCCTCATTTTGTCCTGCCCAATGGACCTCAAGAACTTCCCTATGGACATCCAGACCTGCACGATGCAGCTAGAAAGCTGTAAGTGTCTCTAGAAAGTCATGGAGCAAGGCCTGAAACAGCAGCTAGTAAACCCCATCTCATGACATCCCAGGTATTAAAAGGGCTACTCAGAGTCAGGCGGGGTCTACACAAGCACACACAGACAATTCTTGGCACAGATGAGACTAGAATCTAGGGTTTTCTGACACTCAGTCCAGTACATTTTTCCATTTTCTGGTCTAGATATTCCAAAGACTAGGACATGGGATAGCACAAGCCTGATACACAAATATGCTTGTAATGACTATGGAGGGGGATTTGAAAGGGTGTCCTCTGCCTAAAGATATGTTCCCTTAGTATTTCCTTGAGTTAAGACCTTAAAGATGTCTATAAAATGCCACTGTTGGGCAGGGTAGGGTATTCTCTGAACTCTGATTCCCATGAACAGAGATAATCATTATAGAGAAGTAGGAGAGGATAGTTTCAAACATAGAAAAGTGACTAGAAAGGAGAAGTCACCCAAGGGTTCCTCTTTGGCAGAGGTACCAGTCTATGAAGGCTGTCCTAAGTGCAGAGGAGCCAAAGGATGGCAAGGCTGGTCTGTCACCTGTTTCCATTCCTTCCCCATCTCCTGGGTGAGTTGAGACAAAATCAGAAGACATCCACAAGGTCCTCAGAGAAGTCATCTCATAAGGCTATTTCTAGTACATAATAACAGTGACACATAGAATGTTTCCTGTGGTCAGCTCTTTAAGAATTTTTAAACCACAATCACATCCAGGTTCCCATAATCCATTTACAACAACTTTGAATACTGAGCAGAGCTGGGCATGATTGTGCATAATTAACAATCCCAGCAGCTCAGGAAGCTGATACAGGAGGATCATGAGTTCAATGCCAGCCTCAGCAATTTAGGGAGGCCCTAAGCAACTTAGTGAGAGCATATCTCAAAAAATAAAAAAGGAACTGGGATGTGGTTTGGTGGTTAAGTATCTCTGTGTTCAATCCCTGGTATGGAAGGAAGGAAAAAATTATGGAAGAAAGGAAGGGAGGGAGGGAGAGAGGAAGGAAAGAAGAAAGGGAAGGAGGAAGGAAGGAAGGAAGGAAGGAAGGAAGGAAGGAAGGAAGGAAGGAAGGAAGGGAGGGAGGGAGGCAGAAAAATAAATAGAGCAGCTGCTGTTCTCATTAAACAGAAGGGGAAGTGACTCACCCAAAGTCACACAGCTACTCTGGGTCAAAGCCCTACACTGGATTCTGTGAGCCTTAGTGTTTTTGTTCCCTTCTTGACTGACATACAAGAATTGGTACTATAAATGGCATGAACTTTCATGAACTGCTCTCTGTGAGAGATTTGCATATTCAGATAGTAACCCTAAATTTGTCCCAATTCAAGGCTCTGGCTAGGAGTCTGTGGTATGCACATTGTCCCATGCATGACTGGCAAGATATAAATAGCTCTCTCTTCCCTGAGGTGAAGTGGCAGAAGCCCTGGCTCTGAGGCTGGCTCAGCTCAAGACATGTGGTCAGTACACATGCTTGCTCCTCTGGGCTTAATATATAGCAGGATGTTCCCAGCTGGGGCCCTTGATATCATTCCAACCCTCCTGGCCTTCATTCTAGATCTGCCAGAATAATTCTTCTTTGGGCCTTTCTCATGCTTTTGAACTTGGTAGGAGGGTAGGAGAGGAGTCTGGAATCTTCTTGACTTACCCACTTAGGACAGGCCCATGAGACAAATGAACAAATATCCTTTTAGGAAAAGTTTCCCTTTCCAAGATGAGCTGCAGTTCCTAAACCCCAGGACATGTTTTTCATCTGTTCTTGCCTGCTTGTTTTAACACTACCTCTAACCCTACCCAACACCCATTCTGCAGCTCTCTGCCATCTCTGTCCCTTGCAGTTGGCTACACCATGAATGACCTCGTGTTTGAGTGGCTAGAAGATGCTCCCGCTGTCCAGGTGGCTGAGGGGCTGACTTTGCCCCAATTTATCTTGAGGGATGAGAAGGATCTAGGTTATTGTACCAAACACTACAACACAGGTAAGAACCAGGCTTTTTACTTGCTAGGAGGAACACGAGGGCCTCCAGATGGGAAGCAAGGGAACAAGGCAGCTAGCCTCTACAGAAGTTCTAGTCTAGGTGAGAAATGATGCTATGTGCTTCATAAACTATATCTCATTGTGGTCATGATTATCAACACATTTTTCAGTAAGAGAACACTGAAGTTCTATGAGGTTACATTAATTGTCCAAGTTACACAGCTTTTAAGTGGCAGATTCAGAATTCAAATCCAAATCTAAATCCAAAGCCCATATTCTTGTCCCTGTCACATGAAATAGAGCTGTGACAGTGAGTAGCAGGAATTTTCCACTTTTCCTGGGGCCAACTTTGTGTGAAAGCTAGGAAATCCACATTTCAAAGTAGTCAATGGCTGTGCTGAACAGGGAACAGGCCTGAGAGTAGCAGCCAGCTTAGCATCCATATCTCTCAGGTGTGAAATATAGGTCTAGAAGTGGAGAGAGGCTGCTTTTCTAGCCTGAGTGTCTACTCTTTGCAGCTTCCCTAAGAGTTGCTGATTCCTCATTTCCCCTGACAATTTGTGAGGAGCTCAGATTTTAAGATAGAGGTAGCAAACTGAAGGGAGGGAGATCCTGGGTCCCTCCTAAGGTGTTCTGATATATTTTGGGTGCTCCTTATCAACATGTGTGTGCACATATGTGAGATGCATGGGTGTGGGGAATGGGTAGAGAAACAGTTCACTGAATTCAGAAAAGGCCAGTGGAAGTAGACATTGATATAACATTTTTGGGCTAAAAAATTGGCAATTTTTATGTAGGTCAGTGGTTTTCAAACTTTGGTATGTAATATATTTCCCTGGGGAGTCTGCTAAAATGTTGATTCCTGGACTCTACCTCTCAGGCATTCTAATTACACATGCCAGGAATGATGTCCGGAAATTTGCATTTTAACAAGCATCCTGAGGATTGAGGATTCTAATGCAGGTAATCCAGGAAAAAAAATGGTACTTTGAGAAATTTTTTAATCTACAAGTTAAATTTTTTTGTACTTGTTTATCAGGAATTCCACTCCTTGGAATGTATTATAAGGAAATGTTCCAACACATCACATTGACTTTAGACCCCAAGATGGCTCCTGGGTCACTGTTTATACTGCCCAAACCTTGGAATTGTTCTCACTATCCACCAGTAGGGCAAGGTTAAGTGTGCCTGCTTGGAGCAATAGTATGCAGACATTAAAAAGGATGCTTGTGCTGGGTGTGGTGGTGCACACCTGTAATCACAGTGACTCGGGAGGCTGAAGTAGGAGAACTGCAAGTTCAAAGCCAGCCTCAGCAACTTAGTGAGGCCCTGTTTCAAAATTAAAAAAAATAAATAAACAAAAAGGGCTGGGGATGTGGCTCAGGGGTAAAGCACCCCTGGGGTCAATCCCTCAATCCCTGGTAAAGGAAGGAAGGAAGGAAGGAAGGAAGGAA